TGAGCTAAGATACAGTAGTAATTTATAGAACTAGAGTAGTTGCATAGAGTAAGTGGCATATGTATATACACAAAGAATGTGAGCCTAAGGGGGGGATCACATTTGAGGGACAATGTATTTCATTGTTCATTCCTTTGGATTTCTTTTCTTTCATTTTTCTTTTTTTAATGAGACTGAGTCTCACTCTATTGCCTAGGCTGGAGTGCAGTGGTGCAATCTCAGCTCACTGCAACCTCCACCTCCTGGGTTCAAGCAATTCTTGTGTCTCAGCCTCCCCAGTAGCTGGGATTACAGGCGCCCAACACTATGCCCAGCTAATTTCTGTCTTTTTATTAGAGACAAAGTTTCACCATGTTGGCCAGGCTGGTCTTGAACTCCTGACCTCAGGTGATCCACCTGCCTCAGCCTCCCAAGGTGTTGAGAGCTACTGCGCTAACTCCTCTGGATTTCTTCACAAGAGTTTACATATCTGTTTCCTCATCTGTAAAATGAGTCCCACCTTGGTATGGTTGTGGAGGATTAAAGTGGTTCACGGATGCACAGCTGATGAGCTGCCTGGCACGTGCACAGGAAGCTGCATGTGGACGCCAGTGGCGATTACTGTTAGTATTACCCAAAGCTCTTTGCTTTTTAAAATTTTTGTTCAAAGTTTTCTGTAGAGATGAAGTCTCACTATGTTGCCCAGGCTAATCTCTAACTCCTATGCTCATGTGAACCTCCTGCCTCAGCCTCCCCAAAGCCCTTTGCTTTTTATCTGAGGGAGTAAAGAGGTGATCTGGACACAGTCACTTAGGGAGAAATGAAAAGGAATATAGAGAAACACACCATATATACCCCCCCAACATACACACAGATACACACAGAGACAGACAGATATACACACGCAGGGACACAAAACCAGACATGGATTCATACACACACACAGAGGGACACAGAGAGAGACACAGATCCAAACCCACAGACATATACACACACACATGCATGCACACACACAGCCTGTACAGAATAGAGGGAGATGTGAAACCCCATCAATAAGCCTACTAAAGGCAGCTAAAAGAGGGAAGATGGAAGTGTAAAGGCAGAATGGGAAGGTCTTGGCCAATTGACCTTGTTGGGATGGATGGTTAGTAAAACTGGCATTTAGGGTTAAGAAAGATAAAGGAAGAAAGAGGATCATGAGCTGATCTTAGGAACAAACCTTGTTTCGGGAAAGCAGCTTCTTTTCTCAGTATCTGGGGTTCCTGGGATGTGTGTAGCAGTGCATGACAGCACAGCCAAACACACTGAGAGTGGACTTTCTTTTTTTTTTTCAATAAATGTTTATTCTGTTATTATACTTCAAGTTCTGGGACACATGTGCATATCATGCAGGTTTGTTACATAGGTATACGTGTGCCATGGTGGTTTGTGCATCCATCACCGTGTCATCTACATTAGGTATTTCTCCTAGTGCTATTGCTCTCCAATCCCATTACCCCCAATAGGCCTGGGTGTGTGATGCTCCCCTCCCTGAGTCCATGTGTTCTCATTGTTCAACTCCCACCTATGAGTGAGAACATGCGGTGCTTGGTTTTCTGTTCTTGTGTTAGTTTGCTGAGAGTGATGGTTTCCGGCTTCATCCATGTCCCTGCAAAGGACATGAACTCATCCCTTTTTATGCCTTCATAGTATTCCATGGTGTCTATGTGGAGAGTACCCTTTCTTGAACGGAGGCACTGTCCCATGCTGTGGCTCTGTCATGCCTGGAGATGGGTGGTGTGGAATCAGAACAGATTTGCTCTGCCAAAGATCCCTGTGTATTTGCTCTGCTAAAGATCCCTGTGTATTTGCTCTGCCAAAGATCCCTGTGTAGTCCTCCAGTATTCCTTTGGGGTCATGTGTTATGTCTGACTTTGAGACAAGTATATGGAAATTCAAACTTAAAAATCAAAAGTGAGCAGGAGATTCTTCAAATGGGAAGAAAATTCTACACTTTACAAAATAATTCGCCACTGGGCTCCCTTAAACCTCTGATGGAAAGTGTAATTACGTTTCCATAACACCTCTCAGAACTGCAGTAAGGGGCCATCATATCCAAAAATCTCTTCTTTAAAGTAGATTCCTTAGAAAGCAAAAAGGTTTATGAAAAGCATTACTCCCATGAATATTAGTCAGTTGATATGATCCACGCAGATACTGTATCGGAAGCAAATGTTTGTGTAGCTGGTAAATTGCTGACATGATGGGAAAGGTTTCTGTGTGTCCTTCAATTATCTTCTCTCTTTTCTTCCCATTATTATTTATTTATTTATTTTTCAGATGGAGTCTTGGCTCGGTCGCCCAGGCTGGAGTGCAGTGGCATAGTCTCGGCTCACTGCAACTTCCACTTCCTGGGTTCAAGCAATTCTCCTGCCTCAGCCTCCCCAGCAGCTGGGATTACAGACGTGTGCCACCACACTTGGCTAATTTTTGTATTTTTAGTAGAGACAGGGTTTCACTGTGTTGGCTGGGCTGGTCTTGAACTCCTGACCTCAGGTGATCCTCCTGCCTTAGCCTCCCAAAGTGTTGGGATTGCAGGTGTGAGCTGGCATGCCGGCATGCTAGTGACCAGAGCTCTGTTTGGTTTCCCTCCATTATTTTTAAATTATTATTACTTATTTTGTGAAAGCTTTTACCCCTGTGACTAGGGGAAGACAGAATTGTAGCCCCAAAAGCAATGGTGAGGTTGAACAAAGAGGGAAAGGGTGAAAGCTTTCCACTCTCAGGAGACTCTACGCTTTGAGCTTCCTAAAAAGTTGTACTAAAGGTAGACGTCATCGCTCAAGTTTCTAGACTGCTTCACAATTGCAAATAAAGATCTCACAACCTTGTCTTTTACACTTCCTGGAAACGTTTTTAATTAAATCAGTGGCCAAATTTACAAATACTCTCCATCGGAAGCTTTTCTGTTTGGCAGGAGCTACAGACTGTGATGTCAGCCTCTGAGTTGAAAACCTGGCTCTTCCAAGAGAATAATAGAAGTTATAAAGAAAAAAAAAATGTGTCTGTGCCAAACTCACAAAGAAGAATACAAGCTTGTAAGATTCTAGATGGAATTTTCTTTCTTCACTTACCCAAAGGTGTTAGGAAGAATATCAACTTGCTTTAGAGTTCAACCACTTAACTAATGTGAAAAGCTGAAAACGTATTATCCCAAGATTGCTGTGTAGCTTATTAGTTGAGATATATGTTTGTTTTTTGCTTTCTGGATACTATAGAGGAAAGACTGTGCCTTCTGCTTATTTTCTATTTCTCATTTTGAGACCCCACTGCCCAGGCTGGAGTGCAGTGACAATCATAGTTCACTGCAGCCTCAAACTCTGAGGTTTAAGTAATCTTCCCACCTCAGGCTCCCATGTAGCTGGGACTACAGGTGCATATCACCACACCTAACTAATTTTTTTATTTTGTTATGTTTTGTAGAGATAGGGTCTCTCTATATTGCTCAGGCTGGTCTCGAACTCCTGGCCTCAAGCAATTCTCCTGCCTTGGCCTCCCAAAGTGCTGAGATTACAGGCATTAACTACTGTACTGGCCACCTTATTGTATCTATTCATGTGCTATTAAGAGTATTTAATTAAATGCTTATTGATCTCATTTGCTGGAGGTCTAGAAGTCTTTGGCATGAGATAATGTTTATTAGAAAGAGAGCTGGGTTGAGACTGCAATGATCCAAGCCTCATCTTATCTTTGTAGAACAATTTATAGTTTACCAAGATCTTAGAGTACATATATCACTTACTGCATTTGATCGTTATAGCTACGCTGTGACTTAAAAGGCAGAACTGTTATTCAATACTGTATAACACTGGTCGTACTGGAGTAGGGACCACTCTAAAGACACTCTTTTAACTCAACTCTTCATGTACTGCAATGTACATAGCTGAGAATTTTCCAGGCCTTCAATTTCTGGTTCCTTTTTGCTCAGCACTTTCTTCTTGAACTTAACTCTGTGCTCTCACATTTTGCCATAAGTGGTAAAGAGAAACCAGACCACACTTTCAACACTTTGGGATTTCCTCAGCTAAATACCCAGGTTTGTCCCTTATGAGTTTTACCTTCCACAGAACGCTAGAACACAATTCAACTAAGTTCTTTGCCACTTTATAACAAGGATGATCTTTCCTCCAGTGCCCAAAACATGTTCCTCATTTCCATGTAAGACCTCACCAGAAGCATATTTAATGTCCATATTTCTATCAACAGGCTCTTCGAGCAACTAGGTTTTTCTAATATGCCCTCAAAACCCTTCTAGCCTTTCCCAGTTCCAAAGCCACTTTGAATTTTTTGGTATTTGTTACATCAGTACCCCACTCCAAGTACCAAAATCTGTATTCATCTATGAGGGCTTCCATAACAAAGTACCACACTGGTTGGCTGAAACAGCAGAAACGTATTTCCTAACAGTTTTGATGGCTTGAGGTCCGAGATCAGGGTTGGTTGGTTTCATTCCGAAGATTCTCTCCTTGGCTTCTAGATGGCCATATTCTTCCAGTATCTTCACATGGTCTTTCCTCTCTGCACGTACATATCTATGTCACAATTTCCCTTCCTTATAAGGACACTGGTCATGTTGGATTAGGAACCACCCTGAAGATCTTCTTGTAACTTAATTACCTATTTAAAGACCTTATCCCCAAATACAGTTACATTCTGAGATTTTGGGGAAAACTTTTCAGACCATAAAAGGCAGTAACCTATAGATGAGAATTAGACCCACCAATGAGAATATTCATAGGCATAGAAACCTAAGGTCACATGGTGAATATACTCAAGACCCAGATATTTCTTTCTTTTTTTTTTTTTTTGAGACGGAGTTTCGCTCTTGTCACCCAGGCTGGAGTGCAATGGCGCGATCTTGGCTCACCGCAACCTCCGCCTCCTGGGTTCAAGCAATTCTCCTGCCTCAGCCTCCTGAGTAGCTGGGATTATAGGCACACGCCACTATGCCCAGGTAATTTTTTGTATTTTTAGTAGAGATGGGGTTTCACCATGTTGACCAGGATGGTCTCGATCTCTTGACCTCGTGATCCACCCGCCTCGGCCTCCCAAAGTGCTGGGATTACAGGCTTGAGTCACCGTGCCTGGCTTAAGACCCAGATATTTCTATTTTTCTTATTCAGTCTATTAAGGTGACAGAATGCATTGGAAGTATCTGATCCAAGTAAGTAGATCTATGAATGGTTTCAGGAAATAAGACGCAAACATAGGTTATAGCCACAAGAAATCCCTGTAATTTTTGACAGAGCTTCTCCAATTTTGACATATCACAACATTACAGCATGCCTGTCTTGAACTATTTGTGCTGCCATAATCAAATATCTGAGACTGGATAATTCATAAGAAGAAAAATTTGTTTCTGAAGACTGGAGGGTCCAAGATCAAGGCACTTGCAACTGGTGTCTGGTGTGGGACCTCTTGCTGTATCCTCACATGGTGGAAGGGGTGAAAAGGGCAAAAAGGCACTACTAGAATGTTCCCTTCGATTTCTTTTTATCAAAGCACTAATCTATTCATGATTTAATCACTTCCTAGAGGCCCCATCTCTTATTACTATTTCATCGATGATTAAGTTTCAACATATGAACTTTGAGGGTCACACATAGACCACATAAAGACCATAGCAATGCCTAACATCTTTTGTAAATTGTTTGAAAGATGAAATTCATGGCAATGCTATTAAATTAAAGCTTATGTATTTTTTGTTGTGTTTTTAGAATTAAACGATGCTTCATTTTCCCTAGAGTTATAATCCTGAAAGTTAAGGAAGGAGATCATATTTTTATCTCTACCCTCGAAATAGTATAAATCTCTTCAAACAAAATTTGAACATAAACCATAAACCACCCTTCTCAGTGAATTTAAGAACAGGCACTATGGGCTGAATGAGAACCAGTTCAGTCACTATCAAGCCAACAAAATCAGTGATCAGAGCTCTTGTGTGCTGACCTGGAAATCACTCAACTCTAACTAGCTGCTTCATTGCCAAGGTCACCGGCTTTGTCTCCGACCTAAAGCAAATCATCCTCTAACCAAGCTGGGTCTCTGCTTTGTACACTGGGGATTAACTATCTCAGAGGCTTAGAATGACAATGGAAATGCACTTTACAATAGATATGCGTTTATTAAAGTCAGGAAAGAAACAATTTTAAACGTTGCTCTTCAAGTGTAAGCCTGCTTTTGGATTTTTAAAATGTGTGTTTTACATAGCATACCATAAGCATATATTTATGTTTGAAAAGAATCATATAATAGATTAAAGCATCATTCTTGTCCAAACATAGAAAAGATATGAAATTGTCTTTTAGATATATCCTTAAGACTCTTACTGGAGGTTCCAAGAAGAAAATTGAACACAATTCCGAGCACTTAAGTCCACATCTTTCCATCATTGGAGCTTCATGAGGATACGTTTGGAGCAAAACAAAACCAACTAAATTTTAAATTATCACTCATCTGATGGATCAAGGAAAAGAGGGGACTGGAATCATTTTTCACCAAGGTCCCTCTGGGTCCAAAAATCAGAGGTCAATGCCCGAATTTTTTCTTCGTTGTTGGGTGGGATCAGACAAAACCTCAAGACCCTTTCATTCGAGGACCTTGACAAGGCAAACTTCGCACATGACAAAAGCGCTGAAGTCGCCAGGCAGCTCCAGGCAGTAAGACAAGATCTGACGGTTTCAATGTTTCTCCCTGAGCTTGTCTTTGATTCTATGATCACTCATTTAAAAAGACACTTTAGCATTGCACCAAATAAAGAAAAATTTGATTAACAATGCAAGCAGCTGGCTCTTCAACCTTCCTAGAAAGTCATGATCAGAGCTGCCCTTCCATGAGCAGCTTCTGTGACGGACACCTCTTGCGAGGCAGGGGAAGACGGGCATAGGATGCAGAAGTGGTCAGATGGCATCACTGCCGCTGGGGCAGAGCCCAGTGCTCTGTGCTGTGGGCTGGCAGTGGCTCTTCACAGCCTTTCTGTAGGTTTCTGTAGCCCTGCTATCCACCAGAAAGTGAATTATTTCCATAGTCTTCCAACTGGTGTCCTTGCTTCCACCCCTGCCTCTCTGCCATCTATTTTCCACACAGCAGCCACAGTGATCCTTGTAAAATACAAGTCCTGTCATGTCTCTCCTCTGGCCAACCCTCCAATGACTCCCATCACAGAGAACAAAACCAAACATCCTTGCTGGAACTTGGTTTGGTCCCTATTACCTCCCTGACCTCACCTGCTCCACTTTCTCATTCGTGTCTCTGCATGAGCCCCCAGTCTCCTGGCTATTTCTCAAAACACTTCAGGCATATGTCATCCTCACAGATCTGGTGCCATTCTGCTCCCTCTGCCCGGAGTGTTCTTCCTCCAGATACTCAGTGACTTGCTCCTTCACTTCATTCAGGTCTTGGTCAAATGTCACCTTATTAGAGAAGCCTTCCCTCTCCCCCATCACTCTGTTCCCTCCCCATCACTCTTTCTTATTTGAAATAACCTCAAACTTCATGAAAATTTGCAAAAGAACACAAAGAATGTCTGCCCTGAACAATTAGAGTGTAAGACACCCACGTGATGCCTCATTACCCTTAAATATTTAAGTTTGGAAGTTCTATAAACAAGGACATTCTCCTACATAACCACAATTCAACCATCAGGATAGGAAAGTTGAGTCTGGTACGTTCCTGCTACCTCATCTTCAGACCCCAGTCAAGTTTCATGAGTTGTCCCAACAACACTTTTCGTTGCCAAAGGACCCAATACAGAGACCTGCATCGCAGTTACTTGTCATGTTACCTTAGCATCTTCCAACATGAAACAGCTCCTCTGTCTTTCAGTGACGTTCATGAGCTTGACACCTGTGAAGAGTCCAAGCAACTGATTTTGTAAAACGCCCATTAATTTGGCTTCGGATGATGTTTCGCCATGATCCAATTCAGGTTATACATCTCTGGCAGGAAAATCACAGAAATGATACTGTGTTCAGAACCAGCTACATACACGCAGGGGTCACTGCAAGAGGAAAATTAGATCAACCCCTCATTAAACAATTAAGAATTTCAGGCCGGGCACAGTGGCTCTCATCTGTAATCCCAGCACTTTGGGAGGCTGAGGTGGGTGGATCATGAGGTCAGGAGTTTGAGACCAGGGTGGCCAACATGGTGAAACCCCGTCTCCACTAAAATACAAAAATTAGCTGGGTGTGGTGGCGCACACCTGTAATCCCAGCTACTCGGGAGGCTGAGGCAGGAGAATTGCTTGAACCCAGGAGGCGGAGGTTGCAGTGAGCCGAGATTGCGCCATTGTACTGCTGCCTAGGTGACAGGGCAAGAATTTGTCTTAAAAAAAAAAAAAAAAAAAAAAAGAATTTCAAGAAAACAACAGAGCTTTAAACTCAGCGTATGCCCCTTCTGAGCACCGGTCCTGTGCTACCGCAGAAGTCCATGAAGCTTGCCCTGACTGCGATCTTCATGCTGCGTCTCACTGGACGGCAAATGATTCTACTTAGTACATTACTGATGACGTTACCTTCAGTCAGCCTAATCAAGTGGGTTGGCCAATTTCTCCACTGTAAACTTAATATTTCCCTGCTTTGTAGTGTTTGGGGGAAGATATTTTATATTTGCTTAGTTTTATCAATATGAACTCATGGTTTCTGATTTTATTCAATGGTTTATAATGCATTACTATATTTATCTTTAATTTACATGTAGTCCACTTGGCTTTCTTTGACGTACAATTCTATGAGTTTTTGTTTGTCTGTTTGTTTGTTTTTTGACAGAGTTTTACTCTTGTTGCCCAGGCTGGAGTGCAATGGCCCAATCTCAGCTCATCACAACCTCCGCCTCCCGGGTTCAAGTGATCCTCCTTCCTCGGCCTCCCAAGTAGCTGGGATTACAGGCATGCGCCACCACACCCGGCTAGTTTTGTATTTTTAGTAGAGATGGGGTTTCTTCATACTGGTAAGGCTGGGCTCAAACTCCCAGCCTTGGGTGATCCGCCCACCTCAGCCTCCCAAGGTGCTGGGATTACAGGCGTGAGCCACTGTGCGGATCCAGTTCTGTGAATTTTAATACAAATGTAGACAAGTGTACCCAACCTCAGAATGAGAATACACAGCACTTCCACACCCCCAAAATTCCTTCACGTTATCACTTTGTAACACAATCCTCTCCCTCCCGGCCCCTGGAAATCATTGAACTTGGTCCCAAAGTTCTGCCTTTTCTAGAATGTCCTATAACTAGAATCATCCTGCCTATAACCTTTTGAGACTTGAGTGTTTCATTTGGCATCATGCCCTTGGGATTCATTCATATTGTTTCTTGAATAAGTTTCCATTGCATAAGTGGATACAATTTATTTATCCATTTGCTCATTCGTTATATCAAATTTTCCTTATTCAAATCAATGGGGTTTTCCATCTTCAGTCACCAATTGGGAACACAGGGGCGGCGATTCTTCATTCCTGACACGTTTCCAGGTGATGCTGAAGCAGCCAGTCCAGGGACCCCACGTGCAGTAGCAAGGCTGTAGCCAGCTCACCAGGACAAGGATGATTCTGAGGGGCCGGGCTGGAGGCAGGGACACTGCCTTCAAAGGAGGAGATTGTGCTAAGACAGGTGAGAAATCATGAGGGCCTGATCCAAGCCAGTGGCAGTGGGGCAGACAGTGGAGACAGACTATAGAGACAGTTTAAAAAAAACAAAAACAAAAGGAGACCCACAGACTTGAGGGGTAAGAACACGGTTCCCAAGGACCCAGGAAGAGGAGCAGGAGGGGAGTTGATGGTGTAGGGTAGCAATGAGCTCCCCTTCGTCGTTCATTGTGAAGGTGATCGGGGAAACATCAGGTAGAACTGCCACCTAAGAAGCTGGCCACGAGTGTCTGTGGCTCAGAGGAGGGAGAAGCCTGGGCTACAGGTGATAGTGGGTGTGGGCTATGACCCCTGGGGGAAGGGCAGTGGAGGGAAGCAGGGGAGAAGCTCTCCAGCTTCCACTCCCTCCCCACCCAGGCTGCCTGCCTGCCTCTATGTATTTGTTTATCAACAGTTGAGCTTAGAACCTAATCTTAGCATCTCCACAACTTTCTCAGAGACAAAAGGAGGCTGAGATGCCTACAGGTCTCCAGCGTCAGATGGAGCGTTGTTCAGAGAACTCTTCTGCCCTTGCTGCCTCTTCTCCTGGCTGGATCCCAGGAGATCATTGCTCCCTCTATTTTAAAGGCAGTATTGCCGCTAAACCTCTATTCTGTTTCTTCTTAGCACAGGTAAATACCACAACCTTGCGTTAAAAAAAAACATTTTTTTTTTTTTACCACTAAGGTAAAGGAAGCAACTACAGAAATATGCATTAATTAACAACAGTCTAATTTCCAAAATTAAAGAATCTAATCCCATTGACACCACAAGAAAACAATGACAAGATTCCAAGGCCTCCAATTACCTCATTTCATGAACAGCCTATTCTACACAGAAGGGCTTGTGGCGGCCACTTGGTTTCTTCTGCAGCAGCGCTGCCTTTCCAGAGTGGACAGGATTACAAAAAGGGTCGCTTCATTTCCCTTCAAGACAATGAGTCTAAAGGAACCCTTTGTCTCCTCCTTGGACTAACTAGTGCCAAAGCCTTACTAAAAGTAACTCTTTTTTTTTTTTTTTTTTTTTTTTTTGAGACGGAGTTTCTCTCTTGTTACCCAGGCTGGAGTGCAATGGCGCGATCTCGGCTCACCACAACCTCCGCCTCCTGGGTTCAGGCAATTCTCCTGCCTCAGCCTCTTGAGTAGCTGGGACTACAGGCGCGCGCCACAGTGCCCAGCTAATTTCTGTATTTCAATAGAGACGGGGTTTCACCCTGTTGACCAGGATGGTCTCGATCCCTTGACCTCGTGATCCACCTGCCTCGGCCTCCCAAAGTACTGGGATTACAGGCGTGAGCCACTGCGCCCGGCCCTAAAAGTGACTCTTAACAGGTCTCGGTGGCTCACACCTGCAGTCCCAGGTACTCGGGAGGCTGAGGCAGGAGAGCTTGAACCCAGAAGTAAGAGGTTACAGTGAGTAACGACAGTGCCACTGCACTCCAGCCTGGAAGACAGAGCAAGACTTTATCGCTAAAATACATTTTTAAAAAGTTTTTAAGTAATATTTTTCATTATATATTCTTAAGTTAAAAAAAGCCACACCCTTATATTAAGTATGGTCCCAGTTTTGCAGCCTTATGTTAGACACACTCAAAGGTCTGGAAGACTTAGTGAGAACATCTTTGAGAGTGAATTATGGATGTTTTTCTTTTGTCTTTACTTACCTGGATTTCATTACTGTCTTCTGCAGTCAGTGATGATTACGCTTTGCCTCTGTAAGAAAAAGTCAATGAAGTTTTTTAAATATTAAGAATTTACAGGTGGGCACAGTGACTCATGCCTGTAATTCCAGTATTTTTGAGAGGTGAGGCAGGAAGATTGCTTGAGCCTAGGAGGTTGAGGCTACAGGGAGCTGGGATCATGCCATGGCACTCCGGGGTAACAAGGCAAGACTCTGTTTCCAAAAAGATTAATAATAATCACACTGCTCAGATTCCAGTGGGCACTTCATATTTATTAATTATTTGAGTGAGTGAGAATAAATGAAAGACAAAAGAACAGTCGTGCTCCTCCGATGGATGCCTTCCTTATTCTGTGCCTGCAAAGCAGTGACTTAGATACCGCTCTAGGCTTGCCTTCTGTAACCCACAAACAGATCACTTACAGAATAACACTGCAGTGAGGAGCGTGCTGAAGGGAAATGTGTTTGTCATTTGTGAATCAAAAGCAAGACTGCAAAGGCCCCACCCCTAATTAATTGCAGGGATAAAGGTGAGTGTCTCACAGTGTAAATAATCTGAAGCAGCTGGTGAGACAAGTCCCCCAAGGACCAGATCCCAGCCAGCTAATTAGCAGGTGCTCACCTGAGCAGACATCACACTCAGGATCTTGAGGAACCTACCAATATTTTTAAAATCAGCTTTGTTATGAGTTATTCTTCCAAGTCAAACAAGATAGGATCAAATTGTAGGGACCTAGTTTCAAAATTCAAGCTGTGTCTTTAGAAGGGTGGAAATCGCAGTGCAGCTGAGAAAAGATGCTCGTTAGAGTAAGCACAGTATTTGCCAATTCAGAGGCAGTCATTCCACATTCAGGGATATGATTTTGTAAAAATCAAGAGCATGCTTTGATTAGCGCAAACATTCTTCTAAATTCATTCATCTGATATACATATATTGAGCACCTGTTTATATGTTTTATTTTATTTTATTATTATTTTTTCGAGATGGAGTCTTGCTCTGTCGCACAGGCTGGAGTGCAGTGGCATGATCTCGGCTCACTGCAACATCCGCCTCCTGGGTTCAAGCAATCCTCCTGCCTCAACCTCCCAAATAGTTGGAATTAGAGGTGCGCGCTGCCACACCCGGCTAATTTTTGTATTTTTAGGAGAGACAGGGTTTCACCATGTTGACCAGGCTGGTCTTGAACTCCTGACCTCATGATCCACCCGCCTTGGCCTCCCAAAGTGTTGGGATTACAGGCATGAGCCACCATGCCTGGCCATTTTTCATTTTAGAAGGCAAGTGTCACAGCACTTTATAAAAGAAGCTAATCTTTTCCACTTAAATGGGGGTGATATGCAGACAGCAGTGGGGTGCCGGAGCCAGTTTGTACTAGTCCACAGGAGTGGATTGTTGAATTTTCAGGATTTTGCAGGCTGGTTGTTAAATACAGCTATTGTTATAAAGTAAATTATATAAAATTTCAATTAAATTATATTAAAAATAAAGGTGATGCTGGCCACAGTGGCTCACACCTGTAATCCCAACACTTTGGGAGGCTGACGTGGGCAGATCACCTGAGCCAGCAGGAGTTCGAGACCAGCCTGACCAACATGGAGAAACCCTGTCTCTACTAAAAATATGTAATTAGCTGGGCATGGTGGGGCATTCCTGTAATCTCAGTTACTTGGGAAGCTGAGGCAGGAGAATTGCTGGAACCTGGGAGGCAGAGGTTGCAGTGAGCTGAGATTGGGCCATTGCACTCCAGCCTGGGCAACAAGAGACAAACTCCATCTCAAAAAAATAAAAATAAAGGTCATAAATACTCAAAACATCTCTTTCAGATAATATTGCTACATTTTGCTATTACCTACTCTCTGAGAGTTATTTTCTTCTATTAGACCTGTATTGTCAAAATACTACATAATGATATGTATGCACCTCTCTTCGCGTCAGTGTGTTTAGTAATGTCCCGATGGTGGCAGGAAATCAGCCATGCTAGGAGTATTTACACCACCAAAAATGGCAAACACTAAAAATCAGGGCTTCCTTTTTTGTTGCTTGTCTATACTTAAAAAAGGTGACAGAGGAAATGTTAATGATACAGATTAGATGTAAAAGTGTGTCATAAAACTTAAAAGTGGATCTGTAGCTGCTAGATTGTGAGTAGAACTGTATTCAAAAATACTGAGAGATCTGATTCAAAAATATTGGTGATCTAATTCAGTGCCATGACTCATATTGACTAACGAATGAAGTTTCCACATCTTCATGGCTTCCTTTCTGTTCATTCAGAATAAACAAAAACATCCACCAGCATTCATGTTAGAACTACACTCACGGCCGGGTGCTGTGGCTCACACCTGTAATCCCAGCACTTTGGGAGGCTGAGGCGGGCGGATCACAAGGTTAGGAGTTTGAGACCAGCCTGGCCAATATGGTGAAACCCTGTCTCTACTAAAAATACAAAAATTAGCTGGGCATGGTGGTGGGCACCTATAGTCTCAGTTGTCCAGGAGGCTCTGGCAGGAGAATCACTTGAACCCCAGAGGCAGAGGTTGCAGTGAGCTGAGATCACGCCACTGTACTCCAGTCTGCGTGACAAGGCAAGACTCCACCTCAAAAAAAAAAAAAAAAAAAAAAAAGAATACAGTCATTTGTTAATGCCTTGAGTGACTTGGCTGAATGGTATAGTAATCAAACATTAGTTCTTAGCTTGCTTTTTGTCAAATCATGGTTGAATTACAACCACAGGTCGACTATGGATACAACAGTTCAGCAGAAACCAACAAAAGCCTTTTGTAAGAATCAATTGGCTATTAAAATTTATAATCAAGAGTCTTGTCTACTTTAAATTTATTTGTGAATTGTGTGCTACACAACTTTATGGCAGTAAAATTTATGACAAATGTATGTGCTTCTGTATTTGCCCTTTTTTTTTCCTAGAAAGCCAGTTGTTGAACAAACATTTATCAGTGCACCATTTGTGTGGAGCTCCAATAAAGGCAAAGGAAGCCAATCCTGCCAACTTCGGCTATATATGAACCACCAAAATAAAAGTGACTTAATATATCCCGAAAATGTCTATGATTGTTAAAAAATGCCAGACAACAGCCAGAGATGGAGCAAGCTATACTAAGGCACATGGTGGGCTGGCTTAACTCAGTCATTTCCAAACTTTCAATATGAGCTGGGTATAAGGGGAAATGTTCTCTTTCCTTCATGGGGTTTATTCCCCCCCACACACACCTCTTTCATTCCTGTACACCATTGCTCTGGCATCCGAAACGCTCCCTAGGTTAAGCACTGCTGAAATCTCACATTATTGCCTAGCGACAACCTCTGCTTCCCGGTGTCATTGCTGCTAATAGAACAAGCAGAGTTATCTGGGGGTGCTGGAAAAAGTGTCAGAAAAATGTGTTCTCAATGTAGTAGGTGAGTTATGGGTGGAAAAGCTGATTGCACAGAAGGCCCAGTGCCAGCTGTTGCCTCCCTAACTAGCTGTATGATCACAAAGAAGTCACACCAACTGAGGATGGCTTCGCCTCCTACTAGAGGGCAAGGTGCAGGGAGCTGGCTCTGTTCATGGCTCTCCCAGAGCCCGGCACAGTGCCAGCACACAGTGGGCACTCAGTGAATGAATGCTAAACACATTCGCTCATATAAATATAAATATAAATTCCACAGCTGGTGTGAGGATCCAATCCGTTTGAATGCATGTAAAGTGTGGTGCAAACTCGCAGTTCTTTAAATTATTATTTGATTAGTTCCACCCATGAAAGAACTGCTGTTTCGGTATTGCTGCCTCCTTGTCTCCTTTGATTTCCTTTCTTTCTTTTGTTTTTTTTTTTTTTCTTGAGACGGAGTCTCACTCTGTCAGGCAAGCTGGAGGAGCACGATCTCGGCTCACTGCAACCTCCGCCTCCCGGGTTCAAGTGATTCTCCTGCCTCAGCCTCCTGATTAGCTGGGATTACAGGCACACACCACCATGCCTGGCTAATTTTGGTATTTTTAGTAGAAACGGGGTTTCACCATGTCTCAAACAGGTCTCCAACTCCTGACCTCATGATCCGCCCATCTCGGCCTCCCAAAGTGGCGGGATTACAGGCATGAGCCCTCGCGCGCAGTCTTGATTTCTTTTTTCTTTTTTTTTTTTTGAGACGGAGTTTCGCTCTTGTTACCCAGGCTGGAGTGCAATGGGGCGATCTCGGCTCACCGCAACCTCCATCTCCTGGGTTCAGGCAATTCTCCTGCCTCAGCCTCCCGAGTAGCTGGGACTACAGGCGCGCACCACCACGCCCAGCTAATTTTTTGTATTTTAGTAGAGACGGAGTTTCACCATGTTGACCAGGATGGTCTCGATCTCTTGACCTCATGATCCACCCGCCTCGGCCTCCCAAAGTGCTGGGATTACAGGCGTGAGCCACCGCGCCCGGCCGATTTCTTTTTTCTAATCAGGAACATCTTTGTGGACATGATCCCTCCTATGCTCCCAAAGCAGCTTGAGCCCCACACTGCAATGAAACGGCTGGTTTACTCATCTACCTTTTATTTTCTTTTATTTTTTCTTTTCTTTTCTTTTGAGACAGAGTTTCAATCTCTTTGCCCAAGCTGGAGTGCAATGGCACCATCTCAGCAATGGTGTGGTCTCGGCTCACTGCAACCTCCACCTCCTAGGTTCAAGTGATTCTCCTGCCTCAGCGTCCCGAGTAGCTGGGACTACAGGCACGTGCCACCACCCCAACTAATTTTGTATTTTTAGCAGAGACGGGCTTCTCCATGGTGATCAGACTGGTCTCGAACTCCCGACCTCAGGTAATCCACCTGCCTCGGCCTCCAAAAGTGCTGGGATTATAAGGGTGAGCCACTGGGCCCAGCGTCATCTACCTTTTTCACCAACCCATGGGCTCCTTCAAGGTAGCAACCCAGTTTATTCATCTCCGTATCCTTACCTTCTAGTACAGTGGCTGGAACTGGCTGTATGCTCAAAGAGTGAGTGAAAGACATGTGCACTCTACTTGATCCAGTCCATTCATTCGCACCTGGAATGCGTGGCCCCAGTAGGTATAAGTGGGCCAGGGATAACCCTTTCCAGTGTTCAGAGGCTGCCACTGATACAAAACAAAGGATGTAAGATGTGTTTCCAGTAGACCAGCAAAGCACCAGCGGTGCAGCACAGCACTGCGTGGGTTAAAGAAGCATTATGGGCTAGCCTTGGAACCGAGCCACCATTTTAAACAGCTTTTTTCCCCCCAGGCATTTTACAAATAACTCGTGTGAAAGACACTGCCTGTTCTACTAAAAAGCAAAAACAGAAAGACATGCCACCCCATCCAATCAACCAGGCCCAAATACAGATAATGGTTGGCTTTGAGTGTTTCATTCAAATCCTAGTGTTCCCAAAATGTACATTTTCACTTCCTGATGTGCAGATGTCTGTGTTTAGTTAACTGAATAATAGCACAGCGGAAAGAAATCCATTTGAAGTCAATGCCATAGGTTTTCTGGGGATTCTGTCTTCCATTGACACCACCATGCCTGTTAACAAGTACGGGTTCTAGGCTCTCCTGACATTTCTGGGCAGGAATGCGCATGGGAGTTACAGGCACCCCAGCTGAGATGGACGGTACCACCCTTTCCCCAGGCAGAGTCCCAGCTCCCTGACCCCACCCTCAATTTCTTCCCTAGTGCTTCTCGGGGACCTTCCTGAGCTCACTTGAAGTGTCTTCTGTGTTTTGAGAAGCCGGAAGCTATTGGAACAGCCTCCAAACACAGGCAAGGTTACCTTTGATTAATTATTTGTGTAACTTCTCAGAGCAACAGAGATGTCTGCCTAATGACAGCACAGAAAAGGCAGAGCCAATAATTAATCTTCACGGACTGTCCGATTCTTGGAAAGTTTAATGAACTGATGTTCACCCTGCATGGCACTCTCTAATTCCTCCACACATCAAACAAAAACTGCATGAAGCCGAAGCGGGAGACATGAGCATAGTCCGTAGCTCAAATCTGCAGGATTATGAGTACAAGGATGGAAAGCCCCCAGGGTCCCCTGAACAGGTGCTGCAACAGCAGGAGGCACGCAACCAAAGACGATGGTTACATCCTTCTCACTGTGTGGCAGACCCATTCACCGCCTGGCCAGCAGAGCACAGGCAGAGAAGAGGCGTTGTTTGCTTTAGCAAAATGGAGCCCCTTTGCTTCCTACCATTTGTGTGCGTGTGTGTGTTTGTGTATAGTCCTGTGCAAGAGATCACCCAGGTGACCACAGTCTACACACGCTTTCTTGGCTCTGCCTCCCTGCGAAACCTAGGAGATCAGAGGATTGACAGGAAAGAGGGCATCATCTTATCATTGCAGATGTTCGCCAGATCCCCGTCTAAGTGTGAAGAAAGCCGGGGTGTGTGGTAGAGAAGAAAGGCCAGGCTCCCCTGAGCGTCCTTCTAGGAAACAGACTGAGTCCCGTCTGCATGAGCAACGGCGAATCAAAGCGGGGACTCAAGTTCCCAAGTCTGCTGCTTCACTCTGGGCAGCAATTAGATTCATGAGCTTCTTGACAGCTTTGATCCACATGCCCCTTCTGATAGCAGCAGACAGATCAGTGTGATGTGCGGGCACCGTGCCTCTGGATTTGGAGGCTCCCCAGGAGAAGAAGCTCAAGCCTGGCTTCCACATCCTGAAAGTGTTTCTGTGCTTCATTCATCGCTCCTGCCCTGCACTGTTTGGTAATCCGACATTCTCTGCCACCCATTCTCCATGCCTATCCACTCAGCCCAGCAGGCTACCCATGATGCTGGTAGTAAGGGAAAGGGAGAACAGGGGCTTTCAAGTGGAACTTGTGTCACTGTTAAGTAAGAATCGCCCTCCCTTAGATGTGCACATATGAATCTGTAATGTGGACATAGATGGACAGAGATATCTCCTTCTCCCTGTTCTAGCATTTGAGGCCAACTCTAAGCCCCACCCATGGCCGAGTGGAGAAGCACAGGGCCAGCAGTCTACAATGGACGTGCTGGGCATGACTATGAGAAGACTAAGCATAAGAGAGACCCCAAAGACCACTCTCCTCCCTTCAGCATAACTAGATGGCACAAGGAAGCACTGAGTTAACACTGGGTATTGGGGGAAGGGGCGAAGGTGCAAGGTAGATACTCTAGAGAGCTTACTTACTCTGTATCTGAAATACCTTCCCTGTGCAAGGAAGCCGCATTCATACAACGTCTGGCAGACTGGGCTGGGGACACCAGAGACACACACCTTTGTACCTTCCCCCGCCACATGTCCTAAAGAAACTCTAATATAATATTTGTCACATTCACTGTGATTGTGTCATCAAGGCTAGACTCCAAGATCTTTCAAAGCAGAGGCAATAGATTATTCATCTTTGTGTCCTTCTCCAATTCTGCACTCAATAAATAATTATCACGTCTAATATTTTGTTTTTTGAGACAGAGTCTTGCTCTGTCATCAGGCCGGAGTGCAGTGGTGCAATCTCGGCTCACTGCAACTTCCACCTCCCAGGTTCAAGCGATCCTCCTGCCTCAGCCTCCTGAGTAGCTGGAAATATAGGCACGCGCCACCATGTCTGGCTAATTTTTTTGTATTTTTAGTAGAGACAGGGTTTCACCATGTTGGCCAGGCTGGTCTCAAACTCCTGACTTCGTGATCTGCCCACCTCAGCCTCCCAAAGCACTGGGATCATAGGCACAAGCCAACACTGCCAGCCATCACTACAAATCTGACTACCAGACAGCAATTTGTAAGGTGGGTTATCTGGGCATGGACATTTGAAGGTCAATCATTTCTACCTTCTGCCGGATGGTAGAATGCATGGAGTTTTACCCCACGTTGCTTAAAGCATCTGCCAGGCTGCCATGCCGACCTTCTTGATTTGGGTTTCTAGTTGGGTAGCAGTCCCAGCAAAGACCACAATGACTAATATTCCCATTATTAAGAGGAGAGTTCCGTGATCTTCTGGAACCATAAAATCTTGTATTTTCAGATCATTTAGTTCTACTGCTACTCTGATACCTGAGTCTCCCAGTCCAATCCCTGATTCTCTAACAACAGTCTAAAGATTGCCTCCGAATCACCAAGGAGCTAATTATCAAATAGAGATTCCTAGGACCTACTCCTGGAGACTCTGGTTCTGTATAGGAAAGGGCTCAGGAAAATGAGTTTTTATGACTTCCATGATGAGCAAAGCAATCCAAAACGACTGCAGACAATTCTGAGATCCTTGTCAAGCTGAAACTTTTGCCTTGTACCTTCTACCAACTGGAAAGTTCTTTGGAAATAAACTGAACCGGTTTAATCTTTCTTCCACAGACAGCTCTTCAGAAATTGAAGATAAGTGTGAATGATTCCCTAAGGCCAGCATCCTCTAGATTATAAAGGGCTGGTGTCAACAGTTCCTCCTCCAATCACAGTATTTTTTGGTCCAATTCTAGATTGTGAACCTCTAAAAGGCCAGAACAATGTCTTATTCATCTTTTTTGTTATGATTATACTTTAAGTTGTGGAGTACATTTGCAGACCATCCGGGGTTATACATGTGCCATGGTGATTTGGCACACCAAATACCTACATTAGGTATTTCTCCTAATGTTAACCCTCTCCAATCTCTCTACCCCCTGCTATCCCTCCCCTAGCACCCCACCCCTCGACAGGCCCTGGTGTGTGATGTTCCCTTCCCTGTGTCCATGTGTTCTCATTGTTCAAAACCAACTTCTGAGTGAGAACATGCCATGTTTGGTTTTCTGTTCTTGTGTCAGTTTGCTGAGAATGATGGTTTCCAGCTTTGTCCATGTCCCTGCAAAGGACGTGAACTCATCCTTTTTTATGGCTACATAGTATTCTATGGGTATATGTGCCTCATTTTCTTTATCCAGTCTATCAATGATGGGCATTTGGATTGGTTCCAAGTCTTTGCTATTGTGAACAGTGCCACAATAAACATATGTGTACATGTGTCTTTATAATAGAATGATTTATAATCCTTTGGGTATATATTCAGTAATGGGATTGCTGGGTCAAATGGTATTTCTAGTCCTAGATCCTTGAGGGATCGCCACACTTCTTATTAATCTTTTACCACAGCACCCAATTCTTAGATATGCTTGGTGCCCATTCGTTTATTCAACTAACATTCATAGACCACTTACTGTGCGCCAGGCATTCTTCTAGGCCCTGAAAACACAGCAGTGAACCAAACAAAAGTTCCTGATCTCATGAAGCTCACAGTCTCATCAGGGTGGCAGGCAAAAGGGGAATAAACAAATACAAATCCCCAACTCAAGATGGCTCCACTTAGAATTTTTTTACTTCAAAGTGTTGCAAAAGCTATGCCCATTCAGTAGAAACCTTACTCTGAATACTCAAACAACCATTGTTTTTCACTTTCAGTACAATATTCAATTAATTACCTTTGATATTCAACACCTTATTATGAAATAGGCTCTGTGTGAGATCATTTTGCCCAACTACAGGCTCATGTAAGTGTTCTGAGCATGATGAAGGTGGGCTGGGCCAAGCCATAATGTTTCGTAGGCTCGATGTATTAAATGCAGTTTTGACTTAGAATATTTCCAACTCATGATGCGTTCATAATTCGAGGCACACAGGTGGATATATGTCAGATGGGTGCATATGAGTGCCAGGAAGAGAACGTAGGCAGGTAAAGAGTGAAGAGTGTGCATTCATTAAAAATTTGCTAATTTGAAATCCAAATAAGGCTTTCATGGGTAGGGGGATCCAGATGAGCATAATGTGCCCATTGAATATTTGCACGTACCCGTCATTACGCTTCAGTCCGCGGGGAGAGAACGATCCATGTTCCAGCCAACAGAGGGCAACTGAGAGCAAGACACAGCTCAGCGTCCGAGCTCCTAAGTAAAACACCCAACGTGAAAGCATCCCCAACAACTGCTAAGTGAGTAAATTAGCCAGTAACCTCCGGCCAGTAAAAACTTCTTAATGGTATTTTTATTATTAATTATCACCAGGCCATAGAATACTTACTCTGTTGAGAATTTTCTCTCCTTACTCGAGCCGAAACAGTGCTCTTGCGTGATGGGAAGGCAGAGTTCAGTTAGGACACAAACATGTATTTTTCCCCCCAGGGCTTATTAGTGAGGCTGAATCACTGAGCTAGCCATCCAGAAATAAGAATTCCGTGACTTCTCGCAGCATAAGGAGGGTTTATTTGGAATGTTTGCAGGACGATCCCCTCTCACTGAATTAACCAGAGATTTGATTCCTAAAGTAATCCGTTGCTTTAACAGAATGTAGGTCCAGGCACAGTAGCTGCTGAGAAAACGGAGCCTGAGAAAAAAATAGTTTGCTGTTCAGGGGCAGGGAGGAAATAATAGATAATAAAATAATAAAAATAATATTTAACACCCCCAACCTACAGCAGTGACCCTCTTATTTAAAAAAATAAACTCTAAAATTCAGAGTAGATAGCTAGCCCTATCTGGTTCAACCAGCATAAATGAGGCTTTAGAAAAACTCAAAAAAACAGAAAATCACTATTTACACAAGTTTCTTGTTTCACATGACCCCCATAATGTCTGATACACATAGGGAAAGCACAAAACCTATTTTTGCTGCCAGAGATGTAGTGTGGGCATCTGATAGGCATTGTGATAACCAGCTTGCCCTTTTTCCGTAGGCAGAATCAACAGCTGAACAGTTTGCCATCCAGAGCCCTCTCCCAGAGTCTTACTGTTGCCTGCCGGCTTTACCTCGCTGCAGGTGCTGGATAGAAAACCGGCATATCTGGCTGAGTGCCGTAGCTCATGCCTGTAATCCCAGCACTTTGGGAGGCCAAGGTGGGTGGATCACTGGCGGTCAAGAGTTCAAGACTAGCCTGGCCAACATGGTAAAACTCTGTCTCTACTAAAAATACAAAAAATTAGCCGAGCAGGTGCCTGTAATCCCAGCTATTTGGGAGGCTGAAGCAGGAGAACTGCAGGAACCCGGGAGGTGGAGGTTGCAGTGAGCAGAGATCACGTCACTGCACTCCAGCCTGGGTGACAGAGCAAGACTGTCTTAAAAAAAAAACAACTGCCCATCCCACATTAAAGCATAACGATAACTTCAGAGCCACTTCCGTGTATGGAGCACTCTCTATGTACTATGTTATATTATTCACACATTGTGCTATCTAGGTTCCCTTCCTCCCTGCCTCCCAATTAATCATGTGGATGTTCAGACCCATCTTAATATAACAGAGGTTCAGAAAGTTTCAGGAAGTAGTTGGGAAGGTGGCAGAGTGGAGAAATCAGGCCGTACGTAAGAGTTGTAAAACATAGACTTTAATCACTTCCTAATTCTTATTTGACAGAATTTTCATAGCAGGAATGTTGTGAAATACATAGCTTCTGTGGAAAATGAAGGGCATTAAAATCTGAAAAGAGTTTTTGTTTTTATGGTTTTGGGCTTTTTAAAAATGCGTTTATCTACAAATGTACTCATTACCAAAACCATACTTCACAAAAGAAACTGGCAAGCCAAGCATGGTGGCTCACGCCTGTAATCCCAGCACTTTGGGAGGCCGAGACAGGCGGATCATGAGGTCAGGAGACTGAGACCATCCTGACCAACATGGTGAAACCCCATCTTTACCAAAAATACAAAAATGAGCTGGGCATGGTGGCATGTGCCTGTAACCCCAGTTACTCAGGAGGCTGCGGCAGGAGAATAGCTTACGTCAAAGCTTGCAGTGAGCTAAGATCACGCCACTGCACTCCAGCCTGGCGACAGAGCAAAACTCTGTCTCAAAAAGAAAAAAAAGAAAAGAAAGAAGGAAGGAAGGAATGAGAAAGAAAGAAAGAGAGAAAAAGAAAGAAAGAAAAGAAAGAAGCTGGCAACCCAGGATATTTTGTCTCCTTTTTTCTTTTCCTATCTGAACATAAAACAACCATTGATGACCTATATCCGTTCCAGAGACTTTATATTTCTCACACAGTACAGGAAAATAGCATCAAAGGCCATTAGACCATGTGAGCACTTCGTGAGTTGGGAGGCAGGTATTTATAAGACATATATAACATCAGCGTTACCCCATCTCATCTTCCCAATGCCCTGCAACACTTGAGAAGGCTATTTTGGGAGAGTTGCAGTACACAAAAGCTTCCTTGGCTCCAGGGAACTCTCCAGGGAGAAGCTGGGAGGAAATCTATGTCTGGCTCAGTGGCACCCCCATCTGGAGACCAAGAGAAGCGCTGGCTGACTGTCCTGGCTTCCGTTCTTAAAAGGATTCATCAGTAACTGGGGCAGAATATATTCCCCAGGGTGCACACAAAGCCCTTTTCACTTTTGCAGCCAACAAACACTTTGATGTTCAAAGCCTTGCCAAAAGAAATCAGCCATTTCCTCTTCCAGCAATAATATCAATTCCCCACGTTTTAATGGAATTCTGCACTTTAACAAACACTGTCACACCCATTTTCATCTCATTAGATTTAAGTGAAAGAACCAGTAGAGCAAAAGCAAAATAATTCTTTTCTCAGAAATAGCTGTGAATGAGCCAGTGGGTTACGTTCACTGGGACACTGCACTGTTTGTAATTAATGTCATCTCCGTGATCAGCCTCTTGTGGTCCTCATGCTTCCCCAGGGAGAAAGTGAGTGGTAAAGAAAACCAACTCGGAGAATTGAGCCCGGCTGAGTGTCACCTCATTGATGTGACTCAGTGCCTGGTGGATACACATGTTTCTCTGGGTCACCCAGATTTGGTTAAATGCTCTTGTTAGGGGTTCTGCCTTCAGCAATCAGCAGTAGGGTAGGACATAACATTCCCTGAAAAAGCAACCTGCTACATCGTAAATGGAAAGATATGTTTCAGGAGATTTGGTAAAGAAGCTCCTGTTTCTGACCACACCAAAGTGCCAATGGGCTTCTCCCTGACCTATATGGCTTTTGGGCACCAGCTGCCTCCTGGCCCACCGCTCGTCCCCATGCAGGGACTCCTGGCCTCTGGCCTCCTGTATCCTTCCCTCTGGCTCTCTTTACATCCCATCCTTTCCCTTTCAGGGCCCTGCAGTTTTTCCTGCTTTCTCCAACCTTCTCTCCTCACACTCGTTCGTTCACTCGTATTTATTGAGCAGCTGTGATGTAGCAGATCCTGTTCCAGGGGCTGGAATTACAGTAGAGAACAAAGCAAAGCCCCCACCCTTATGTACTGTATGCTGTAGCCAGAGAGATGGATGGCCAACACATAAACATACAACACACCGCCGCAAGGAAGTGAACAGTGGTGCCTAGAGGAAGAAGACAGAAACAGGAAAGAAGAGATGGGAAGAGGAGATTTAAGATTGGCCAGTAGCGCTCACCCAGGGGACATTTTGCTTTGTGTCTCTGATTCACAAACACCTTTTGGCTAAAGCCTTGCACAAAAGCAAAATCCAAAATACTCACGTCTTTTGGACAACTCAACAGACGTCCAAAAGAGTGCCTTGGACGTCTGTACTTGGATTTGATTTCCGTTCTGCCGCTTCCTGGTGGTTCTTTTACTTCTTCAGTCTCCGTTTCCTTCACCTGAAATGGGAACATGGCCTCCTTTGCAGGGTTACGATACAGATTAAGTGAGATGATGTACCCTGGGTGCACAGTGTATGGGACACAGGAGGGCTGATGTGGGGTAGCCATGACAACAGGGATGGTCCAGATGATAGCAAGACCAATAATAAGCAGGTACTCATTAGACATATTCTGGGCCCTCAGCCCCACACCAGGCACTGTTCAAAAAATGATGGGAGAACTATGATCTTTGACTTAAAAACTTAAAAATACTGCCCCCTCCACCTGTCGACATTTGTAACACATCTTTCTAGGCACAGAATGGGGGAGAGCTACCTTCATCCCCCCCTCCCACCCACTCCAGTTTCTCATAGCTTCAAAATCACAGAGGTAGGAAAGATCTTAAGATCAGGTTTCACCCATCCCTGTTATAGATGAGGAAGGTGAGGCCCTGAGAGCAGAAGTGATCACATCCCTGGTAGAACTCTGTGGATAGAGGCCTAACTATTTCTTTTGGGAACACACAGTGGTGAGGAATCCTTAAAAGTAGAGGCTACCATGTGCGGTGGTGCATGCCTATAATCTCAGTTACTTGGGAGGCTGAGGCAGGAGAATAGCTTGAACCCAGGAGATCGAGACCATGCTGGCCAACATGGTGAAATCCTGTCTGTACTTAAAATACAAAAATTAGCTGGGCACGGTGGCGGGTCCCTGTAATCCCAGTTGCTTGGGAGGCTGAGGCAGGATAATTGTTTGAACCCAGGAGGCAGAGGTTGCAGTGAACTGAGATCGCGCCACTGCACTCCCGCCTTGGCAACAGAGCAAGACTCGGTCTCAAAAGAAAAGTACATAGAGGTCGACAGTGAGCAAGTGTTTTCATATGCATTATTAAACTCTTTCCAATGTATCACCAAACTTTTTAAAGATCACGAACATCCTGCTGTTAACCACCCTATTAGTTGGGCCTTTTATCTTGTTCCAGTTCAAAGGGTTGCACCGAACCTGGTAAAAATCAACACCAGAGGGGGCAGAATTAGCTTAGAAGGATCATGGGACCACATACAACCAGAATGATGTTCACTCAGGTGACTTGACGGTACAGCCAGGAGAAAGCCATGACTGTTATCTCAAGGTCACAGTCAAGAGCATGCGGTGCTTTTTATCAAATCTCAAAGAAAGGATGTCAATCAGAGAATGAACGACACTCTCAGTGACTGAGAGGGTCCAAAGAAGATCTCACGACTGGCCAGGCACAGTGGCTCACACCTGTAATCCCAGCACTTTAGGAGGCTGAGGCAGGAGGATCATGAGGTCAGAGGTTCGAGACCTGTCTGACCAATATGGTGAAACCCCACCTCTACTAAAAATACAGAAATTAGCCAGGTGTGGTGGTGCGTACCTATAATCGCAGCTACTCAGGAGAATGATGCAGAAGAAGTGCTTGAACCTGGGGAGCAGAGGCTGTAGTGAGCCAAGATCGTACCACTGCACTCCAGCCTGGTGACAGAGCAAGAGAAGAAAAAAAAAAGACTCAAGACTGAGCACAGAAGAGGACTCAGCATGGATTTGTCAATGTGGTAAAGCAATCTGTTTGGTAGGTCTCAGAATGAGAGGTTCAAGGAGATGATGGAGTGGGCACCAGTGGGTCACTTCCCACTTCTCAGGCTCCAGGTAAAAGGAACGTGGAAGAGCTGCATTTTGATGGAGGATTAAGTCTGATGTGAGCATGCAGCCTTGGTCTCTGCAGATCTGTCATCATTTGCTTTTAATCCCATGAAGAACTTTAATGTGGGGTGAAAGCAGTATAAACATTCAATAAGTGGTGTGTCTTTATCACTTTTAAACAATTATACTACAGCAATAAGCCTCTTGCTATGGAAGATAGAAATGACATAAAGTGGGCAGTTGAGATGATTACCTCAATAATTGGGGAAGAAATAAACAAATAACCAGCCACTGGGAAGGAAGAGCTTATTAAGTCTAAGGTGTAGTGTCCAGTTTTGCACACCTGTCCTTTCATTCAGCAAGTGTTCACAGTTGTCTAAACACCTGCCTCCACTAGATAATTCTATTGCACTTCTCTCTCCTGCTTGTGCAGACACAGTCCTTTCTCTCTCCACAGCCAAGAGACTTGCCCGTTGCAAAGTTCAACTACAGAGGGGTCTACACTGGTGACTGAGGCCCCAGGAGTTGCATTCTCACTCACTATGGGCAGTTCTCACTGGGGATTTGGTGAGATGTCCAGCTCCTTATCAATGCAGCCCAGGAGGCAAGATGGAGATACTCCGCCAGCCCTGGAGAAGTCACCAATCTGAATGGCTTGAAAGCCTCTCTCAGTTGCTAAGTAATAAATGCTTCTGTTGGTGGTGCCCTCACTCTCATTTTGACATCGGGAAGGATGAAAAATATCAAGGCTCCCGCCCTGACAACAGAATTACTGCCCATGACCCCAGCTGTACTCAAGTAATTGGTTTTTACACGACCTGCTTAAAAGAGGACACATGACAGATCTCTAAAAGGCCCGTGGAAATAGGCACAATCTGTTTTAAAACCTCAGTAAAGAAGAAAAAAAAGCCCTTGGAGTAAGAGAAAAATACAAGATTAATGATCTTCCTGCACCGTAGGGAGAAGTCAACACCAGCTGGGGATAGATCTGTCAGAGGCAATGAACATGATGAAAAAAGGCAGCTGATAAGTTCATTCGGTGTAGAATTTCAGCCATGATCTATGGATACACACTGCAGGTACAGGAGCGTCGTGGTTTGCAGAGTATAAATATTCAGAATACATACAAACCAGCTATAGAATGTGATTCTTTGGTTTCTCATTTTGTCCTGACCCTGCATCCTGTTGTAAGTCATATTAGTCATAGGGCATCAAACAGGAAAATTATGAATATTCAGCTGTTGGGTTTTTTTTTCTTTGAGACAAGGTCTTGCTCTGTCACCCAGGTGGAGTCTTGCCTTGTCACGCAGACTGGAGTATAGTGGCGTGATCTCAGCTCACTGCAACCTCCGCCTCCCAGGTTCAAGTGATTCTCTTGCCTCAGGCTCCTGAGTAGCTGGGATTACAGGCATGGACCACCACATCTGGCTAATTTTTATATTTTTAGTAGAGACAGGGTTTCACCATGTTGACCAGGCTGGTCTCAAACTCTTGACCTCATGAACCGCTCCCCTCTGCCTCCCAAAGTGCTGGGATTACAGGCATGAGCCACCGCACCTGGTTGAAATTCAGTTCTTTTAAATGATGGTAGAGGAAATGTGTCTGTGATATGCATTTTCATAATAAAACCGACTCAAGAAGTCAACTTCTTATTTACAAGGATACTTGTTTATTCTACTATTTTAGAGCTATAAATATACCACGTGTGGTGGGGTGTGGTGGCTCACATCTATAATCACAGCACTTTGGGAAGCTGAGGCAGGAGAACCACTTGAGCCCAGGAGTTCAAAGCTGCAGTGAGCTCCGCACCACTACTTTCCAGCCTGGGCTACAGAGACTGTGTCTCTAAATACCAAATATGTATTATTTCCATGGAATGCATAATACTTTGAGTATATTAAAACTGAAGCTGGCGAGGGATTCTGGTTTAAGTTCAGTTGTTATGTTGGACAGCACCATGGCCCAGCTTCCCCACTCTGCGGGGCAAAAATTTCTCCAGTGACAACCGTAAGGAGAAAAGAAAATCGAATTATGGGAAGGGGTCTCATTTCAGTGATGTCAGACTCATGTAGCTGATTTTTAAATATTTTTACTAGATGTTTGATTGAAATAACTTTGCAGTTTAAACCCACGAATCATCTAACAAAAGTAGGGTCTGAATCCGTAAGTCATCTAGATTCAGGAGGCGTTCACTGGCTTCCCCAAACCTTTTACGGAAGCTTATGTCTTCAGTGCAAGGCTCAGCTGTCACTTCCCATCCTCTGCAGGTGATCACAAGCTGTCAAGCTGCAGAGGGGCCACTGCCTAAAAAGGACAGTGAGCAACAGCAAGCCGGCAAACATACCCTACAAACCCAGGCGGCTCTGCGCCATGGAGGGTCAGTCTGTGTCCAAAAAGCTTTGAGTGCAAGAACTAGGCGATCACTTGGAGATTCAGTCCAGGGCTAGAAAATTCAGGGATCCACATCACCCAAATGGTTAATGGATTGGACTCCTTTTCTGCTCATTCCTCTCCCAAGCTCTATTGAAAGATGCCGGGTTTAAAAACAAAAGCAAAACAACACAACCCCAAACTGGAAATATGCAGCTTCCAAACCATGAGTCAGCGCTGGCGCCAACTGCCTCCCATCTGGCATACAGAGCACAAATCCACATGTTTCAGAGGCTTTTCTAGTAACAACATGCAAAATTTAAATCTCAAATCTATGATTTTAGCCTGAAAAGTTTTTTAAAACCACAAAAAGAACGACTTTATACTTAGAAATGAGGAGTACCACAGCTCATTTATAGATACCCAGGTCGGCTAAAAACATGGAGCTGGGTGTTTTCAACCTGAATTTTTTATCAGAAAATGAGAAAAAGAGAAAGTTTCCAAAGCACCTGCGGTTTCCAGATCTTGGGAAGAAAGTAAACCATTTTAGAGATGTTTTAGACAATATATTCTCATTTTAAAATATGAGTTATAGCTTTATGGTATGTGTGTGGGGAGAGAGAGGAAGAGAGATTGAAACCAAGAAATTGAGAGAGAAAGAAGGAGGGAGACAGAGAGAGGGACTCTTATCTTGCCATTTTTCATCAATTCTTTTCTCTCTGTCTCGACCTGGCCAGCTATCCCTCCCTTCCTCTATACCAACAGATCCATGTCTATTTCTCTTACATGGCTATGAACTAGAAATAATAAGCTTTTATAATTTATTCTGGGATGTGAATATTAAAAAAAAAATCTTATACTGTGGCTGGGCACTGTAGCTCACTCCTGGAATCCCAACACTTTGGGAGGCTGAGGCAGGTTGAGATCAGGAGTTCGAGACTAGTCTGGCCAACATGGCAAAACCCCATTTCCACTAAAAATACAGAAAAAAAGTTAGCTGGGCATGGTGGCGCACACTTTTGATCCCAGCTACTTGGGAGGCTGAGGCATGAGAATCGCTTGAACCCAGGAGATGGAGGCTGCAGTGAGCTGAGATCTCACTGCTGCACTCCAGCCTGAGCAACAGAGTGAGACTCTGCCTTGAAAAAAGAAATCTTATGCAGTGACTTTTTTTTCTGCCTGTGGTTACAGTGACCCTTCATAGAAACAGGTTCCCCACCCTTCATTCTGCTGAAAATACATCATGAAAAAACAGGGACATGGATGAATCTGGAGAACGTCATCCTCAGCAAACTGACACAAGAACAGAAAATGAAACACCGCATATTCTCACTCATAGGTGGGTGATGAAAAATGAGAACACATGGACACAGAAAGGGGAGTACTAAACACTGGGGTCTATTGGGGGGAAAAGGGGAGGGCCAGTGGGAGGGGGAGGTGGGGAGGGATAGCCTGGGGAGAAATGCCAAATGTGGGTGAAGGGGAGAAGGAAAGAAAAGCACACTGCCATGTGTGTTCCTACACAACTGTCTTACATGCTCTGCTCATGTACCCCAAAACCTAAAATCCAATAAAAAATAAAAAATAAAAAAAAAGAAACAAAAACAATAATTTCAAAAGAAAAAAAAAAAAAAGAAAAAACCTTCAGTGGAGACAAAAGTAACTTCCCTCCCTTAGAGAAAAGCAAACCAGTCAAGCCTTGTAACTTCAGTCTTCTGTTTACATACACAATGGTTCTGATTCCTCGCTTTCGTTTCTGGTCATCCTAACCTTTGAGTCCTCGCTGCCTACATGCTGAACCCTGATGATGGTGACAGGATGAATATCTGAGGTATAACGAATGTCACTCCCTCCAAGGGAGAAGTGCTGAGATGGGGGTTGGTTTGAGGGCATGCCCCATGGGGGGTCATCATTATACTTCCAATTCTGAAAAAAAAGTCCTGTTTGGAAGTACGCAGATGTTTTGAACTCCGTTTTTCTTGACTGTGGTCTAGTATCTCTGAATTCCTTTGAAGCATGTGCTTGTCAGCCAGTGCATACATCAAGAATTAGCTGTAGAAATATGTCTGTGTGCATATACACATTAAAATATGTGCATTCTGTTTTCAAAGTAGCACGGTGAGAGGCTGCTGAGCTTAGCTGTCGAAGTTGTATCCTGTCTGTCCTTTCATGACTCCATGACCCAGCAGGCAAGTTTTCATATAGAAAATCAGCAGAAGAGAGGCCTTACTGTCAGAGAAGAAAGCCTTGATCTACTGCTGTATTAGTACGTCAGGAGAAACAACACACCTCATGACTGCTCCCTGGACTTCTGCTGCGGCATCCTACTCGGCCTCCCATGGGCAGAGTACTTGTTCTAAAACATAGATCAGTTCATGTCATCCCTGTTTAAAATCCCAAATGTATCTGAAGTTCCCATTGCCTTTAGAATAAGCCTCGGAATCCCTGGTGTGACCACCAAG